TTAATTTCACCTATATTTATGTCGAGTTTAGCCCTGGAATATGAGATAAATCCAGTAATCGTGCATTTGCGTGTTCTAGTACACTTGTTCAGGTTCTGTTTGAAGTCCCGGCACTTGATATCACTTTTGCACGTTTTGTTGCATGACAAGGAATTAATAAAAAGCAAAACAAAAGTACAATGAAAAAGCAATGCTGAATTCGTGGTAAAAAGTCGTCATCTGTAGTTTGAGCAGACTGCTTCAGCAAATCAGTACGAGTTCTATAAGCCAGCATAAGTTACCTGAAGTTTAAGGCTACCAAAAACCTATTGTGTTTTTCTGATATTAATGCCAACAACAGCAGAAACCCAAGTTCAGGCCATCTGAAAACCTTAGCATCACAGGTTAAAAAAAAAAAAAAAAAAGAAAAAAGCAGCACACATAAGTTAAGGGAAACAGTTGCATGTTCCTGATATTCTAATCCAAGACATAAAATTATTTATGGAAGAGTGTGACTAGGAATTCAGTTACCATCATTTATCAGGTGGTCAAGACAGCCCAGAGGTAACCGGCTGCATAACAACAGCATAGGGAAGGCTTCACAGGGCACCTCTGGTATAAATTCTCTTCAATCCTGTTTTAACCATAATAGGTAAACAGCGCATATTCAAAACCTGCAAAGCGTTGAGTTTTTAAAACCTGACAGAGAGGCGTTCCTGTAGAGATTTTTAATCTATTTCCTTCTAATCTCCTCCTAGCCGAGGAAGAGTTCTTTGTACTTTGGGCAACAAAAGGAACGTAGAAGTGACAGAAGCATGTCAAAGCTGTTTACATCTCACACAGCTCCATACGCTGCGCTGCTGCTGGCGGGGCACTGGCAGAAGGCCGTGCCCAGCCCTCGCGCTGAGCCTCAGCTTCCTATGGGGAACTCCATAGGAGAGCAGCCAACGTAGAGGAGAGCTAAACCCCTTCCCTCCCTGTGCAGAAAGGGAGTTAAAAAAAAATATATATATATCAAGGCAACAAAGGGTTAACACCACGCTTTCAAGGACACTACAGTATATTAAGGCAAACTCAGTAGGTTACAAATCAGGTAAGTGTGAAACCTGTTGGTACGGTATTGCTGCTGGGGAGTGATGAGTGCTTAAGAAAGTTATTAGATACACAAATAAATCAGAAACTAATGGCACTGTGTTTAAGGTTACTGAATCTACACATGGTAAGGTTAATGTTTCCAAACCGAGCAACTGAAATGGGGAGGAAGGGGAAGAGGAGAAAAAAAAAAAAAAAAAAAAAAAAAGGAAGAAAAAAAGAAAAAAGGCTGTAAGACCAAATAATTTGCCAAGCCATGCTGAGATTTTAGCCAGCTGAAAGCCTTGATTATGGCACAAAGAATTAATGATCTGAAAACAATGCAGACCTCTGTGGTACATTATGAAGCTGATGTTCTGCAAAGAGGAGCTTTGGGATCAGAGCTTCGGGTTCCTTGGCCCCCTGGCTCTGCAGCCCGCAGCAGAAAATCCAGGTGGATCAGTGAAAGTTAATGGGCAGGGCACTGCAAGAGCCGTTGTAACGTACTCAATATGATGTTAACAAGGAATGCTAAAAAAAATAAATGAAATAAAAAAAAAAAATCAAAGATCAACACATAACAAAATAACTCAAAAAAATTAAAAAAAAATACAATAAAAACCTAAAAACTGATTTTAAGATTAAAAAAAATAAATAAATCTCACAATAGGGATTCAATGGATGGAGCAGAGGTTAAACAAGGCAGGACAGATGGGAACCTCTCTCTACATCTACGTATCCAGGGATAGTTCTCCCACAAAGCCACGTGTGAACTTCCACCACAATACAGAGGCTTTAGAAGGAAAGGAGGTTGAAGAAGCGAAGAATAATAATAAAAAAAAAAAGGATATACAAAAATATATTTTTCCGTGCTTCAAAAGAATTGGGTCCATTGGTTATCAAAGTAAATTAAAAGCTCAGGCAAGCAAGAAGGCACAGACAAAAACAGATGAACACAGAGGAGCAGCAGAGGGATGGGTGCCAATGCCTGAGAATAGTTACGGGCCCGGACCAGGTCACAGATCGAGGAGTGCTGAACTGGAATGGCTCCAATGGGAACGATGGGCTGGGAGCAGAGAGAGGAGCAGTGCCGGCAGGGAGCGAGGTGAGCACAGCAAGCCTGGGGTAATGAATCCTCCTCACAAGCAGGCATTAGGAGTGATAGCACCAGGTATGGCTCGCAGCAAACCCCCAGAATCTCATCTCATTGCTGGCCAAGTTACTACCGGCTTGTACTTTCATTTAGAAGATTTCCAGTCCCCTCGCACGCTACATACTTTTTATTATTGTTTGAGGATTAAGAGCAGTAACCCTGACAGAACATGAACCCAGAAGAAGGACAAAGCAGAAGAGGAGGCTACTTTCGTATTTCAAGATTTCTGCCTCTAAAAAAGAACAGATGAACAAGAAAGGCTCCGCTCCTGCACACAGCCACTTTTTGTTTCAGCAAGACTTTGACAAAACCTAATTCGCTCGGCTGTGTATCTCGTCTATCGGGTACCTGAAGTATGACCATCACTCATTAGAAATGTAATTAAAAAAGTGACAAAACTGGATTTCCCCCTCCCCAGCATGCAGATGAAAACCAGTAACCCTGCCTCTATTTGTAACCATGACAACTATAGAATATTTTATTTCAGTAATATAATTCACACCGAACATTTGCTCATAGGTTTTGTTGTTAAGGGAAAGGTTGACACACTGTGCACACATTTCATAAGCTGCCAGAGACAACAAATACAGAGAAGTCGGGCAGTGCTCAGGATGGAGAACCGTGTATGCGTTGCAGCACTCATTTCAGACTCTCTGCAGGAAGCTAAACGAGCACAAACAAAAATTCATCCAAATTAAGCATTAATGACCACTTACTTGCAAGACAACTCGGTGTAACCGGATGTTGCTTGACTTTCATGTAAACAACAACGATGCTACCATGTTTTAGAAGAGGCAATAACTCAAAATCCTGAACTGTAATTTTTAATTAAAATATAGCACGCGTTATTCGCTTTCTATTAGGAAATACCGACACAGATGTTATGGGAAGAGATATCTATGTGAAATGAGGCAATGAAAGATGCAGCTTAGAGACGCTGGCTGAGTCTTATCCTGGATGGGTCACTAAATTATTTGCATAGCTCCCATATTTCGTCTTAAATCAAAGACAGCTTCCATAAATACACACAATGAAGACAAGTTATAGGAACAAAAAAAACCCTGTATGTTATTCAGACATGATTAAACAACCTACTGAGCAGAACTAAAGTTTGACGCAGATAAATGCCGGCGTAAAATATGGTTGGACTTCGTTTCTCCTTCAAAAAAAAGAAAAAAAAAAAAAGAAAAAAAAAAAAAAGGAAGACTCAAACCCATTAGCAGTTTAAATCAGAATATAACAATAACAGAAGGCACTGTTGCTTTGTTTTGGAGGAGAAGAAACCTGAAGGAATAATGCTTGCAGGAACACTATGCCTCCCCTCACTCGGATCATAACATCTACCAGGGAGGATTTAAAGTTTCAGCAGATTGCTAATTATAAGAGACAGTCTTATTATTCTGTAGTCACCTTAAAGCTGCAGGAGTTTGATTTTTAACTATCACAGAATTGACCTCGGAAGGATACCTCAACAGATGTGTAAATCACTGCAAGGTGCACACATGCCCTGCACACACACTGCCTCTGCTGTGGTATGGAAATAGATGGGAAAGAAAGTTTTCCCATTTATTAGAAACCCACTATATGCAATATTCCATTAGAACAGATAAGGAGCCTGCAGCAAGCAGGCACGCTGTTTTGCCTCATTGATGGAAAAGTGATCAAATCCCCTTTAGTGCAGTTCCCAGAATGCTACCTTTTGCTAAACAATTTTCACACACAACACACAAAAGGTGAGGCACCAACTCCAGCACCTGGGGGACATGAATTTGGGGGGTGTTGGTGGGGTGATAAATCCATCTTTGTCATTTTAGGAGTACATCCAGCTTTGTGAGTGAAGCATAGAGGGGAAAAGAGAAAACCCCAGCCCGGGAGCAGCCCGTTTATGAAATGTATGAGAGGCAGCACCCTTCAGCCTCACTGCTCCCTTCCTTTAGGCCTTTCTCAGCCTTCTTGGGGAGGTGAAAAGACCTGAACCCAACAACCTGGCACAGGCACTCCATGTCAAATAACGAACCTCTGTGAAGGTACCCAGGGGGATGCAGCTCTCCTGATCGGAGCCAGGCAGCACTTGGGCTCAGCCACAAGTTACATACATGCATTAAAAAAGAAAATAATTAAAAATAATAATAATTCGGAAAAATAAATAAATAAACGAACTGCATCAATAGAAAACCCAGCAGCATCCAAACAAACCCTCACACCGGCGAGGAACGGCAAAGCACCGAGTGGCAGAAACGTGGAAGAAGCGCTTTTTTAAGGTATCTATTTCAGCAGGATTTCGGCGAGAAGTTCCTGCTACAAATCACGCGTAGGGATGGGGAGAGGGAGGAGGGAGGGAAATGGAAATAGATCCAGGCTCAGCGAGACGCGGTTGGGGACGGGATTGGGGACGGCCGGTGCCCCGGGGCCGCGCCGATCCGAAAGCGGCGGAGCTCGGGGTGACCCCCGGGAAAGGGAGCGGCGCGGACGGGCAGCCCCGGAGGTGGGGGGCGGCAGGGGCAGGGCGGCCACGGCTCGGCGAGAAGCCAGAAGTTGTGGGTGAGCGGCTGGGCTTGCAGCGAGGAGCCCCTTTTTAATTTAAAAATAAATAAATAAATAAAGCAGAAATCGGGAGAGAAAAAAAAAATAATAATAACAGTAATTAGAAAATAAAAGGACGGCAATCACGATCCTAACGCTGACAGCCCCGCACGGCACCCCCCAGGCGGCAGGAGGCACGCAGGAAGTTTTTAATGCGGGCAGCGAGCGCAGGCGCAGGGCAGCCCGGCGCTGCGAGGAGCTCCGCGCCGCTTACCTCCCTCCGCGGGGCGCGGGCGGCCCTGGGCCGGCAGCGCGGGGCCTCAGGCGGCGGGGGGATGCGCGGAGGCGGCGGGCGGAGGTTTGCGCATCGCAGCCTCCGCGCCGCTAACGCAGAGCCCCGCGCGGCTGCGGGCGGCGGGAGCCGCGCTGGAGGCCGGGCAGAGAGGCGCGGCGCGGCGGAGGCGGCTGCTGCTGGTTGTGGTAGCGGTGCTGCTGCTGTTGCTGCTGCGAAGCCGCGACCATGCTCCCGTCTGGCCGCCTTCCCCTCACCTACTGCCCGCTTTAGCCGGGGAGGGAGGCGGCCTGGACGCCGGGGCGAGGGGCGGGCCGGGCCAATCGTGGCGGCGGCGGGAGGCGGTGGAGCCCGGCCCGGCTCCGCCTCCCCCCGGCCTCCCTGCCTCGCTCCTGCCTCCCCCGCGGGAGGCTGCCCCGGCCCCGGCGCCGCCGCCGCCGCTGCTGCTGCCACCTCGTCCTCTTCCCCATCCCCTGCCCCAACCCCGCGGGGCTGTGGGTGCGGAGCCCCGCGGCTCGGATCCTCCCTCCTTCCGTCCGTTCGTCCATTCCCGGCGAGGACGTTCATGAGGGAGAGCGTATTTCCTATAAGGTCATCAGTCTCCTATAGCTGTCTTCAAAAAGTAGCGTGCAGTTGAAAAGAAATATTACCCCCGCTTTATTAAATCATCGCTCTCCGGGGGCATGATCCAAAGCCTCTTGAAGTCCACGGGAGCCTTTGAATAGGTCGGTGCGATTCTCTCCCGACAGTGCTTTTTCTTTTCTTCCCCCTTCTTGTTTTAAATATCCATCGCGCTTGGAGTCACTACAGATTTTACGGGTGGAAATCTGCATCTGGCTCTATTCTGTGTAATCTTGTATCTGGGTGCGTTGCTTTGTAGTGATTGCTCTGATGTGCACACAATCTGCATATGCTGTGGGTTTAAACACAGAACACTTTGTCTTGGAGATTTCCTGTAAGCATATTAAAAAAAAAAAAAAAAAAAAAAAAAAAAAAAAAATGCTCTGTCAAATTCTTTTCTCCTTATTTTTCCCATTGAAAAAAAAGATGCATCATGGGGACATATAGGCTGTAATGTGTTGAGAGTGAGACGGCTGTGCCAAATGATGGCCGAGCAAGGTGAGGAAAGGGATAGGAGCGCACAACCCACTGTGGTGGATAAAGAGGGAGTTGATGGAGAAGGGGCAGTGCGGAGAAAGTAGGGTGCAGCAGCAGAAGGGCAGCTTCGTCTCTTCTCTCCCCAACCTCACAAAGCAATGACAGTACGTCATTGCAGGGGCCCGAAACGTTTCTAAGACCAACCATCGTTATTAGGAGTAGAATGCTTTTAGCAGAACGTGGCCTCGCTTTGAAGCAGGGAGGCTCTGTACCTTTTTGTCCTTAATCTGCCGTATATTAACATTGAAACTTCCAGTCCTGTACATCACAGCGGAGTGTGAGGGTCACAAGTTCAGAACTGTTGAAATCTGAATTATTTAGCAAGCACACACATGACATGCTCTTCTGACGTCTTTTTTTTTTTTTTTTCCCCTTAGTTTCCCTCCTTCCCAACAAGGGAGTGTGTTATTTGCCCTGGCCCTCCACTATTTGCCCAGCAAGCCCAGCTGACCCAGGGTCCAAGCAGGAGAAGTCTCAGTGGGTCTGCTGACCTACCCATCAGCATGTTGCTCTCCCGGTGGCATTTGGATGTTCTGGCAGCAAACGCTCCAAGACCGGAGAGAGCAGAAAGCAGAGATTCTTTGGAATCCTTAATTAGACACAGTGATTTTGGAGGGCTGGTTCCTCCAGTGCCTTGTACTCTCTTTGGTGACCTTGGGGTTAAGGATACCAACCAGCCCTGTTTATTTTTAATAAAATCTTACAGTTATATGAGACAGTTCTGGGTTTTATTTATTTTTAGCATAAGTGCTTCCATCTTATCTGCCTTGCAGGTTTATAGTAAGGATTTAGCTAATATTTGGACAGCACTTTTGAGCCATGAAGTTCTATAGGTCTATTATACTGACCATTTTCCAGGCTTGTCATTTTAGGAGTGTGCTTTTGTACCCTTTCACTTCAGGAAGATAGAGCTCACAACTTGACCTCAGTTTCCGCCTCAAATTTTATTAAATGCCTCATTTACAAATGCTGACATAGGGTCAGATTCTGATTTTGCTTCTAGGTATAAATTTCAACAAATTTCCTCATCCTCAGAGGGTTTATTCGTGATCTCAACCAATTTAACTCAGAATTCGAGCCACAATTGTCATGAAGAATAAGCATATAATTACATTAAATACAGTATTCTACATTCATTTTCTTGACTCAATTTTCTTATTTTAGCAACTTCATTAATTTCAGAAGAAAGTGCTTCATTTTATTCTTTTTTTGTTTTAATTGTTATTTCATTCTTTTTCTATATTAGGAGCTCTGCAGAGAAGGGTGGGTGGAAGCAGTCTCCCCCACTGATGGTTCATCACAGGGACACGATGGAATCCCATGTGCAAGGAGCTGTTTAAAATGAGGCTGATAGCTGGGGGTGGAAAAGTCCCCCTGAGCTCCACATTGCTGAAAGAGATGAAATGATGAAATGAAAATTAGATTTACAGGAAAAAAAAAAAAAAAAAAAAAAAAACAACAACCAACCTGCACAAAATAATCCACAAATGCTCTGTGCTATTGGTTTTACTTGGGTGAGTATTTTATTTTATTTTATTTTATTTTATTTTATTTTATTATTTTTTTCCTTAATAGAATGAGATACAGAGTTGTACTTGACAGACTGAGGATTGTTTGTGAGAATCCTGATTTTGGATTAGGCAGGTGATAGCCTGCAAGACTTGGGCAGCTGGTTAAGCTTCCTCCACTGAAAGAACAGATTTCCTCTTTTAGCAATAGATCATGATGTTACGAGGCATGTATTAGAATGAAATAATACAACCTCCCCCGACTTTGCTGATTGTATCAAAACTAATGGCATCTTGAATTGTCAGAGCATCAAGTCCATCTTCTGATAAAATATTAGGAGACACACAGATCTATTCATCTTATTGGAGATTTCATTTTAGTCTGCAAAATATTGGATGGCAATGCTATTAGATTAGCTGTGGGCACATTGCAGGAACCGACGTGGTAATCGGGCACTAAGATTTCACAAAGGGGTTCCCATAAACCTTTCCCACTTGCTTTATGGTAAACCTTGTCTGGATGTGCTTCAGAGAATGAAATTCTTGCTTATTTTAAAGGCTTTAAGATACGGTTTGTTATATTCTTACTAAAAATGTCTTGCTTTTTGATTCAGGTTCAGCCATTTCAAAGATAATTAAAATTCATCTCCAAAATTGTTTTATAAGATTTTCTTAAGTCGTATCCAAAGATGAATATCTGCTATCCAAACTTCAGCCACGAGATCTGACTCCTGCTTTCAGCTAATGAAGATCTCTTTAATTACAGGTTTACAGCTTGAATGGGAATGCCAATGGTTTAATCTGCTGCTGCCTGAAATGCTGGTATTTAGTACATTTCCAGGGAAGAGTTTAAGGGTTCTGAGAAAGGAAATGGAGATCAGGAATATATTTTTATTTTACTTTTCCCATCGTGTATTTTTGTTTCTTTGCAGTGTAAGAACTATTAGCTGATGCTTCTAACATTCATTCATACACATCCGTTACAATTAGCCCTAACATTAAGCAGAAAAATAATTCCCCAAAGAAAACAGGAAGTGACATTTAAAGCAATTTTTTAGGTGTACAGCTTGACTTAATTGCCAAAATATGTTTTGCTAAGATTGCAAAAACTGCTAAGAACTGCTAACCTGTGGAATTCAGTGAGAAACATCACTGACTTTTGTGGATGCACCATGTTTAATGGAACAATTCCTTCTCTTCGCTCTTCTGCTGTGTAACTCAAGCAGCTCTGGGATGGACCTGGGCCTGGTTGGGAAGGTTTTGTTGACTGCCCCTGTCCTAACCCACACACACCTCCACATCCTCTGTGAGGCAGCAGTCACGGCAGGCAACTCTTGCTTTGAATTAGTCTATCTTCAGAAATGGTTTCCTTCTCTTTGGGCACTGTTCACAGCCCCAATTTTGGATTCTTAACTCCTCCGACTGAGGCAAAGTTGAGGAAAATATGTGATCCTCTCATGAATATTGGACCATTCTTTTCAGATTTTTCACACAAAATATTTTTTTAAGTGTACCTGATCTTCTCAGACATTCCACTTTTTCACCACAAACTATTTTCGGACACATGCTCAGAACTGATGAAATACAGATTTGTGTGGTTTTAGGTGTGTGAGTTGAAACTTCTTTGTCCCTGACTTGCCAAGGGAGTGTAAAGAGTCTGGTCCTGTAAGAGCAAGCAGTATATTGAGTTGATTTCTCTTAGACATGACAGAACCATTTGCTAAAACTTCCCCCAGAAGACTAAAGTGGGTTCTGCTAGAGCTATGATTTTGATTTCTGGTGGGCAGTAATAAAAGTTAAATCTATTTTACTATATTGGCAGAGTCTAGAGCTCTGTCTTGAATTATGTGAAAATCTCTATTGGTTGAGGGTAGCGGAGAAGTCAGGCTTTTGTTGGGACTTTTTGAAAGCTTATGAAGATTCTGTTTAACAACTTTATTTCCAAGTCACCTCTGGTCCCACTCAATCCCACAGAGAGGCATTTTCATTGCTGCTGAGCAGTTTCTTGAGTTTTGTTGAAATAACTCTTCTATGCTGGTTTATGAGCTGGGGCTGGAGGAGGAATTGGACTTTCAGGGTGATTTTGGAGTGAGGTGGGTTTGATTTGCTTGTCTAAAATGGTAAAAATATGTTCCCACCTATTCCTCGTAATTATATGGAGAAAACTAAAGCGCATGTCATTTTGAACTGAATGTCTGTATTAAATTAGTTTGACTCCTATTTTCTGCCATCTGTGGCATAACTAGAACAGAGAATGAGAACAAAAAAATATAAATGACTCAGCCGCATTTCCTTTAGGAGACACATCATGCCCCCCATTCTTGTCAAATAATTAATTTCAGTGTTGTGACATGCTGGGCATGGAGAAGAGATGCTGCCGTTCTGTCATTTAATAGGGATGCAAGTTTGGGCTGTAATAGTTTGATTAATCAGCCACGCATTGTTTTTCTGTATATTTAGATGGGCTCAGAACAATCTGAGCACAATGCTGAGATGTAATTCAACTTAATTAAATATGAGTTTTCCTGTAAATGTTAAGTACCTCATGAGACAGGCTGTGGAAAGAGCCAGAACTAGGTTCACAGGAGGGAAATGAGGA